TGAGCATAAGGACAGACTACGAATTCTCTGTAAAAAGTAGAACTCTCAAAAAGGAGGAGCGTCACTTAAGTTTTCTTAACCTAAGACTTTAGAGAAATTAGATATGAGATTTTTATACTTAAGTTGTTGGATTTTTTTTTCTGGATTTTGGAGGGAGGAGTTGCGAAGGAAGAAAGTTAATATAATGCCTATGTAATACATAGAAACTTCCAAAATAAAATATCATTGATGGTTGAAATTGCAAACAAACAAAAATATCTTAGTGATTACAGAGCTTAATTAAAATAAATTTTACAAAACTAAAAATATAGAATGAGCCAGGTGCAGTGGTGAGCACCTGTAGTCTCAGCTACTTGGGAGGTCGAGGCAGGAGGATTGTTTGAGACCAGGAGTTCAAGGTCAGCCTGAACAACGTAGCGAGCCTTGTCTCTAAGTTAAATAAAAATATAGAGTAGTGAATATAATAAAACATTATCATTTATGACTTTTCCCCTTAAGTTTAAAATAGTATTTTGAGTCAAATTTTTTTTTTATTTTGGCTAAACATACATTATTTGCTTAAAAATAATAAATTTGGATAATATTAATGGCTTCAAAAGCATGGTCTGACCTCCTTCTTCAGATTTAAGACCTGACGTTTTGAAGGTGGCAGCAAGTCCTAGGAGCTGACATACTGATTCCTTATATAACTGGGACCTCTTTCTGTTGCCCATTTCAGGCAACTGCCATGGGATTGTAACTACAAACCCTGCTGCCAACCCGAGGACATCAGCTGACAGCCATCTGAGGACACAGTCACAGTTCCAAGTCTGTACAATGCCCAGCCAGAGCCGCTCAGTGGGGTAAATTATTACCTCAATCATATACCCCATACACTGTCTGATCCTAGTCTTGCAAAAGAGAACCTGAAGGAGAATAGAAAATACAGTTTGAACAAAATGTTGAAACTGTATCCATGGAAATTACTTAGTGATTGTGAATGAAATGAAAGACAGCTCCAAACAAATCAAAACATTATGTATGTTCAGTGCAAGTAATAAATGCCTACATTTGAAATAAAGATGTAATGAAAGACTTTCTCTTAGCAAAGAAATTTAGGGTGAATGAGGACACAGTGGTCACCTCCCTGGGTGACCTTTGAGGAGGCCAGCTGGCTGTATCCTGCTGTGGAGGACCATCCTGACCCCTGTTTCCCAGGGACTCTGCCCAAAAAGCTTTTGCCCTAGTGGGGAACAGCTGGGCTGTGAGACCCAGTGCTACCATTCTTTCTTTCTCTCTTTTTTTGAGACAGAATCTCACTCTGTTTCCCAGGCAAACAAAGCCTTGGCTCACTGCAGCCTTGACCTCCCCATCTCAAGTGATCCTCCCAAGTAACCAGAACACAGGCTTGCAACACCACACTTGACTAGTGTGTATGTGTGTGTATATATATATATATATATATATATATATATATATATTATAGATGGGATCCCTCTATGTTGCCCAGGCAGTGGTCTGCAACTCCTGGGCTCAAACGATCCACCTGCCTTGGCCTCCCAAAGTGCCAGGATTAGAGGCATGAGCCACTGTACTCTGCCATGAGTGCTCTTTTAATTCCTATTTTACAATGAGAGACAGTGATGTGCTGGGAAATGTTTTACAACCACACTCCAGGAAAAAAAAAACAGTCCTAATTCATGAGATTTGCCAATTTCTGTGGTGTAAATACTCCCACCATAGTCAGTTTCAAGCTATTAACATGCTATCCCTGGTCACAGAGTTGGAAAGAAATGCAAAGCAGCACAACATTACATAGTTTTTCTACTATGCAGATATGATGACATAAATAACCTCAAGAGCATAGAAAATAGTAAAATGGGTCTGGCACGTGGGCCAGCTGTAATCCCAGCACTTTGGGAGGCTGAAGTGGGAGGATTGGTTGAGCCCAGGAGGTCAAGGCTGCAGTGAGCCATGATTGGGCCACTGCACTCCAGCCTGGGCAATACAGTAAGACACTGTCTCAAAAAAAAGAAAAAAAAGAAAAGAAAGAAAATAAAAGAATAGAATGTAATATAATAAAATAATGAGGAAGTGGTGATGAGTCAAATATTGATTATGGTTGTGTCATAATTAACTTATACATTTTTATAATTTAATTTAAAATAATGGCTGTCTTTAATAATCTACTTGCAAAATCCCTGAAATTTTGACAATTAGCTTTTAAAAAATTTCTTAAATGTTTATCTACTTATTTATTTATTTATTTGAGACAGAGTCTCACTCTGTCACCCAGGCTGGACTGCAGTCGTATGATCTCAGCACTGCAACCTCTGCCTCCCAGGTTCAAGCAATTCTTGTGCCTCAGCCTCCTGAGTAGCTGGGATTACAGACTGGAGCCACCACACTCAATTAATTTTTGTATTTTTAGTAGAGATGGGGTTTTGTCAGATTGGCCAGGCTGATCTCGAACTCCTGGGGTCAAGCAATCCACCTGCCTCAGCCTCCCAAAGTACTAGGATTACAGACATGAGCCACCATGCCCAGCCTGACAATTAGCCTTTGCCACCACTGGGCAAGTAACTTGCACAGCCAATCATCCTTCCAGTCATAGGCCACTTTGCCTCATTTGCCAATGCATGCGGTTAGCCAGGCACCACGTTAGTGTCTGTGGGGAATCAATTTGGAATAGATGTGTATCTATTCCCCACAGGGACAAACATGGTGTCTGGGGAGGTGTATAGAAGTAGATTACTATAATGCAGCATAGTAAGTGTTATGGCAGTGGTGTGATATGCACACTGAGAGAGGAATCTGATTTATCTTTGGGATTAGACTGTTATTTGTTTGTTTTATGATACCGGGTCTCACTCTGTTGCCCAGGCTGGAGTGCAGTGGCATGATCATGGCTCACTGCAGCCGAGACCTCTGAGGCTCAGGTGATCCTCCCACCTCAACCTCCCAAGTAGCTGAGACTATAGGCAAGCACTACCATGCCCAGCTAATTTTTGCGTTTTTTCTAGAGATAGAGTGTCATCATGTTGTCCAAGCTGGTCTCAAACTTAAGCGATCCACCTGCCTCAGCCTCCCAAAGTGGTGGGATTACAGGCATTAGCCACTATGCCTACACCTGGCCGATTGTTAGGTTTTTAGTTGTGAAACATTATTGTGGTTATAGTGTAAAAAACAACAAAAGTTTCTAAGCTGGGCATGGTGGCACATGCCTGTAGGTCTAGCTACTCAGTAAGCTGAGGTAGGAGGGTCTCAAGTTCCAGCCTAGCCTGGAAAAATAGCAAGACATCATGAAAAAAAAAAAAGAGTTTCTATCTTTAGAGGTAGATGTAGAGATATTTACAGATAAAATACTGGGCTCAGTGGCCCAAGCCTGTAGTCCCACCCACTTAGGAGGATTGTTTGAGCTCAGGAGTTCAAGACCAGCCTGGAATGTATAGTAAGAATCTCTCTTTTAAAAAAGAAAAAGAAATATTTATAGATAAAATAAGATATCTAAGATATTTTTTAAAGTTCTATGATGACATTTATGGCTGGGACAATTAAACAGACCAAAGAATAGTCTCTTCAACAAATGGTGCTGGGACAGACTCCTACCTCACACCATATGGATAGTAGATCTAAATGTAAGAGCGACAACTATATCACTCTTAGAAGAAAACATAGGAGTAAGTCTCTGTAACCTTGGGTTAGACAATGGTTTCTTAGATATGACACCACAAGCACAAACATAAGAAAAAAATAGATAAATTGGACTGCATCACAATAAAAAATTTTTGTGCTGAAAACAATAACAAGTGAAAACTGCCCACAGGACAGAAGAAAATATTTGAAAATGAAGTCTCTGATAAAGGACTTATCCAGAATATATAAAGAACTCTTGCAACTCAACAATAAAAAGACAAATAACCCTATTTAAAAATGGCAAAGGACTTTTTGTGTGTGTTGCTTTTTTGTGTGGTGCTGAAAGCTGGGAATGAACCAATGAGCAAGGGATTAGAATAAACATTTCTTCAAAGAACATATAAACATGTCCAATAAATACATGAAAAGATACCGAGAATCATTAGTCATTAGGGAAAATGCAAATCAAAACCACAGTGAAATGTCAATTCATACTCACTAGGCCAACTACAATAAAAAAGATGGACAATAACAAGTGCTGGCAAGGACGTAGAGAAATTGGAAATTGGAACTGTCATACAGTGCTGGTGGGAAATGTTAAATGGCACAGCCACTTTGGAAGACAATTTGGCAACTCCTCAAAAAGTTAAACGCAGATTTACTCTACAATCCAGCAATTCCTCCCCTAGGTAGAGAAATGAAAACATATGTCCACAAAAAAACTTGTACGTAAATATTCATAGCAGCATTATTCATGACACCCCCCAAAATCGAAATAATCCAAATTCCATCCCAATTGCTAAATGAAAAAATAAAATGTTATACATTCTTATTATGGGATGTTACTCAGTAATAAAAAGCAATGAAATAATGATACCTGTTGAACCATGAAGATTGAAGACTTACGCTAAGTGAAAGAAGCCAGCTACTGAAGACCACATAGTTTATTAGTCCATTTTCATGAAAATGTATGGAATCAGCAAGTTGTCAGTCACAGAAAGTAGATTAGTGGTTGTTTAGGGTTGAGTGGAGGGGTGATGAGAGGCATTGACTTCTCATGGGTATGGGGGATGGACATGTTTGAAAATTAGATTGTAGCTGGGTGTGGTGGCTCACATCTGTAATCTCAGCACTTTGGGAAGCCAAGGTGGGCAGATCACTTGAGGACAGGAGTTTGAGACTAGCCTGGCCAAAATGGTGAAACCCCATCTCTACTAAAAATGCCAAAAAGAATTGGCCAGGTGTGGTGGCACAAGCCTATCTGTAGTCCCAGCTACCCAGAAGGCTGAGGCCTAAGAATCGCTTAAACTCCAGAACTGGAGGTTGCAGTGAGCCCAAGATTGTGCCATTGTACCCTAGCCTGGGCTACACAGCGAGACTGTCTCAAGAAAAAAAAAGAAAAAGAAAACTGGATTGTAATGATGTTTGCAAGATATGATGAATACTAAAAACACTAAATGGTACACTTTAGATGGGTGAATTGTATAATATGTGAATTATATTTCAATAAAGCTGTTTTTAACACTCCAACATGGGGTGATAAAGGGAAACCCTGTCTCTAAAAAGAAAAAAAAGCTGTTGTTTTTTTTTTAAGTTCGATGAGGAAGGGGTGTAAGCAGGTACACAGAAATCAGATCAGCCGTGGGTCGGTAGGTGCTAAAGCTGGGAGACGAGCACATGGGAAGTCACACGCTATTATCTCCAGTTATGTCTTCATTTAGAATGTTCTGAAATAAAAAGTTAAATACAGTTTACCTAGAATTCTTGGAGGTCGTTTTCTAAATGTTCCCTGGCCTCACCCAGTTCATGGGCCCAGAAAAGGCCATCTTTCCTCTAGATGGGGTGGGACAGGGTACTTTATAAATAACCCTAGCTGCTGTGGGCAGTTTTCCCTGCCTCTACTCTATTGGCCTCTATGCTCTGCTCATGGGCAGCTTGGCCAGCCTCTGCCACAGCCTAACCTCTGGGTCAACAACGGGCCTCCGATAGGGCTGTGACCCCTCCCTATTTTTTCCTTTTCCTCCCTTCCAGCCAGTAAGGCACCTCTTTCTTTTTCTCCCCTCCCTCCCTCCCTCCCTCCCTCCCTCCCTCCCCCCCCCCCCCCCTCCCCCCCTTCCTTCCTTCCTTCCTTCCTTCCTTCTTCTCTCTCTCTCTCTCTTTCTTCCTTTTTTTTTTTGAGACAGTGTCTTGCCCCATCACCCAGGCTGGAGTGCAGTGGCATAATCACGGCTCACTACAGCCTCAACCTCCCAAGTTGAACCTCAGGCTTAAGTGATCCTCCTGCCTCTGCTTCCCGAGTAGCTGGGACCACACGTGCACACCACCACACCAGGCTAGCTTTTGTATTTGTTTGTAGAAATGGGGTTTCACCACATTGCCAGGCTGGTCTCAAACTCCTGACCACAGGTATCCACCCACCTTGGACTCCCAAAGTGCTGGGTTTACAGATGTGAGCCACCGTGCTGGGCCAGGCTCCACCTTCTACTTGTCACTGCCAGTTCTGTCAGAGTGGAGCCCACGGCAGAGGAGCTGGTATTCCCTTGGTTGGGCTCTTTCCTCTGTTCCTTCTCCCTTTCTTTCCCCAGCAGACTCTTCTGGAGCTGGAAGCACAGCCCCAGCTGCACACAGCCCCTAGGCCCCGGGCTCTCCCACGGCCACACCCAGCCACGCAGCCTGGACTTCTCTGCCCAGCATCTTTCTCCTTGGTGCCTTCTTGGCTCTCCTTCCTGCAATATAAGCCCAAGGAAAGCTCTCAACATTTCTGCCTCCAAGAGAAGCGGAGCTCCTTCCTGCAGTGCTCCTGAGTTCAGCAAATCAAGGCATGTATGTGTCCGGACACTTGTGTCAGGTGCCTGGAGACCTGACAAGTTAAGACGCCCTGGAAAGGCTCTGGAACATTCTGCAACAGTGAGGAAGTGGGTCCATTTAGTTAGGTGAATCTGCCTGGTGTCTTACACCAGTGTTGTCGCCAACTCAGCCAAAATCCAGGGTTATGGAGTTTGGGTGTGAAATAGGCAGGGTGCCTAGGGGAGAAAAGATCTGATGGGGAACTGTGAACCAAAGCCGGGCTGGGACTGGAGCTCCTGGGAAGAGGGGGCTGGGGCTCCATGACACCTGGGGGAAGAGGAATTGCCAGGACTTGGTGACTCATTTGATATAAAGTTTAGGGAGATTTCCAGGTTGGGGGACCACGGTAAAAGAGATGTCCTCAGCTAGGATAGAAAACAAAAGGGGACCAGGCTCAAGTGTGATTGTGAAGATGGAAGTGGCTGTGAACACCTTGTGGGGGCAACGGGGTAGAGCTGGAAGCTGAGGTCGGGAGTTGAGGAGAGCCAGCCATGTTGAGTAAAAGAAGCCACCGTAGATGTGGCGTCTCTGTCCAGGGCACAGATAGAAGGTGACCATGTGGCTCAATGTCAGTTTATACCTGCTGTTTGGATCCTGGGCTACCTGCGCCTGTTGTCCCAGATGGTGGGGAGGCAGTTAGTGCTCTCTTCCCTCTCAAAATCTCCCACTTAGGATGACACACGGTCACCATAAAGAGAGACCCTATAGGGTAGGGAAAGTAAAGCAAATCAAAGGCAGTGCCATTCTTGTTCCCTTGCTTCTTCCGGCCTCTTCACCCTCCTATCTCAGACCTTCCATTCCCTCCTCTTCTTTGTTTTTGAGACGGAGTTTCACTCTGTCACCAGGTTGGAGTGTAGTGGCATGATCTCGGCTCACTGCAACCTCCATTTCCCAGGTTCAAGCAATTCTCCTGCCTCGGCTTCCTGAGTAGCTGAGATTATAGACATAGCTGGGATTACAGACAAGCACCACCATGCCTGGCTAATTTTTTGCCTGGCTAATTTTTGTATTTTTAGTAGAGATGGGGTTTTACCATGTTGGCCAGGTAGGTCTCAAACTCCTGACCTCAAGTGATCCACCTGCCTCAGCCTCCCAAAGTGTTGAGATTACAGGTGTGAGCCACTGTTCCCAGCCCATTCCCTTCTTAGACTCCTGTATTTTCACTTTATTTTCTTTTCCCCTCCTGCTATGCTTCTCCTTCCCACTTCCTTGGGAAAGAACCCACCCCACCCCTACAGACCCAGGAGAGGCAAGTCCATCTGGGCCATCCAAGTCACCTGGGTGGGCTGGGGTGTGGGCCAGGCTGGGGAAGGGCCTTGATCAAGTGGGCAGGCAGGGGTCCTGCCTTCTGGTCACAGCGCTGCCTCTTTCCTGCCGTGTGACCTTAGAGCAAAGCATTTCTGCTCTTGGAGTCTCAGTTTTTTCCTCTGCAGCAGATGAAAATTGAACCACTGATATAAAACGTCTCTTCTCGCTGAGGGGTGGTGTTCCTCTTGTCGGCTGCCATTTCTCATGGGGTCCAAGCCATAAGATGCCAAGTGTCAGTCACCTCAGAAGACAGGGTTTTGTGTGTACTTGGTGGTGGTTTCCCTGGGGTACCGAGGCTGAGGACTGGGGTCAATGGAGTCCGTGAGGGAGCAGCCTAGGAGCTAAGCCCCACTTGGTGGCTGCACGTCCCAGGTCAGCCAGGCCCGCACCATGCCCCGATTACCTGCAGAGGGCGCCGCAGACAGCGAAGGAGAGGCAGAGTCCATCGAAGCTTCTGGGAAGAGGGTCCCAAAGGGAGCCCGGAGCTGGAGTCCAAAGGGTTTGGAAGGAAGAGGTGAGGAGGGCAGAAAAGGAAAGGCAAATTAAAAGACGAGAATGAAGGCCGGGCGCGGTGGCTCATGCCTATAATTCCAGCACTTTGGGAGGCGGAGGCAGGTGGATCACGAGGTCAGATGATGGAGACCATCCTGGCCTCTATCACCAAGGTGAAAGAGGTGGTGACAGAGGGAAACCCTGTCTCAGGAAAAGAGAAGGGATGGTGGTGGTGCGGGGGCGGTTCTTGTAGGATCCGAGAGGGGCCAGCAGCACCCGCTACGCGCCGGAACCTCAGCCTCCTCATCTACTGAATGGACCCAATCCACACCTCGTGCTGCGGAAGTGCTAGAGCGCCGGGACACTGGGCCATCGGCTAAGGGGGCGCTGGGAACCTGGATGGTGCTCTATGCCGGGGCGTTGCGGGGTGCTATTGGGCAGTAGGGTTGGAGTCAAACCTGGGTTGAAGTCCTGGCTGCCACCTGACCTCTGCGCCTCAGTTTGCTCATCAGTGAAACGGGGTTAAGAAAGCTGCCTCCCCCAGCTCCATGAAGCGGGAGGTAATGAAGGTCCTGGAGGAGCGGAATTCAGAACCTGAGCTTTGGGCTGCGGAGCCGGACCGGGCGCGGGTGGGCGCGGCCTCCGGGAGGCCGGCATGAGGGGCTGCGGCAGGGCCCGGATACGCCCAGCCAGGAGGAAGAGGCCGAGCCCGTGCCAACCCCGCAGATGCGGCTCGGGTGTTCCTTGTCCCTCCAGGCGCCCTCCCAGGGGTCCTCCATCAGCCGCCATCACCTGGGCGCGGGGGAGCTGGCCGGAGGGGAGGCAGGGCTTGGCGGAGAGCCGGGGCCCTGGGAGCGTGGCGAGGGCGGGCGGACGGAACACCGGGCAGGGGGCCGGGGGTCCCAGAAGGGGGTGCGGGAGCGGGGGTCCGAGGAAGGGGGCGGGGCCTGGCGGACAGGGCTAGGGGTGGGGGTCCGGGGGCGAGGGTCCAGGAGCGAGTCCGGGTCCGGGAAGACAGAGCAGGAGGCGGGGGCCCGGGGAGGGGGCGGGGCCCGGGGGGCGGGGCCGGGGTCGGCGCCCCGCTGGAAGGCCGGCCACGTGACGCCCGCGGCCCGGCGGGGCTGCCAGGCGGCGAGCACCGCGGCGGCCCCCGGAGGTGGCTGCGGGCGCGGGAGCCTGGGCCGCGCGGGACTGACCGTCGGGGCCCCGGCACGGCGGCCCCGGGGCGCCCATGCCATGGAGAAGCTGGCGGCCGGGCTGGCCGGCCTGCGCTGGAGCATGGGCGCCTTCCCGCTCGACCTCATCGTCAGCCGCTGCCGCCTGCCCACGCTCGCTTGCCTTGGGCCAGGTACTGGGGTCGCTGGGGATGGGGACCGGGGTGCGCAGGGAAATTGTGGGCTCTCCAGGCAGGGGCCAGCGGGATGGATCGTGAGGAGGGTGCGGCCCCCGCGCTCTCCTGGCTCCCCGGCGCGGGCCCCGAGCGGTTCCTGGCGCGCCTCCCGGGAGACGCGGGGCCCACCCGCCAGGTCCGCCTCCTGGGCCCTCGGACAGACACAGGCACAGACTCCGGGGACAGGGCCAGGGACAGAGTTTTCCGGCCCAGTGGGAGTCCGGGAAGGGGCCGAGCCCCTGCTCCCGCCCCGTCGGTGCCCCCCTTTCCCTCGCTGCCCCTGGGCCCCCCGCACCGGCCGCGCCCCCTCGGTTCCTTTGTCCCCGGCCTCTCACCTCTGTCCTCCCTCATCCCTGGGACCCGGACTCTGTCTTCCCCCTACCGCCACCACCAGTCCCGCTCCGTCCCTCTGGGGACCCTTCTCGCACCTCCTTTCGCGTCTTGGGGATTAGCCCTGGGTCCTGGGGCGGGCAGGCCACCTTCGGGAGAGGCCTGCAGGAGCCGGGTCTGCCGCCTGGCGTGACCCCCAAACCCCGGTCCTCCCCCTAATCTTGTCCCACTTCTTAATAGGACCTGGGGTCCCCGGCCGCTCTGCTGATGGAACTACGGCTGGGGGCATGAGAGGGGACGGCCGGAGGCTGCATGGAGCGAAGGAACCGTTTGGGGGGAGAGAGGGGCTGCTTGGTTGGGGGAGGGGCGGGAGCCGGGGCTGGCAGCCAGGCCGGGGGTTTTGTGTGCGAGAAGAATAGGGGTTTGGCCCGCGTTGGCACACTCACTTCCCTGAATGCTAATGGGGCCCGCAGCCACAGGCTCCTCTCCTTCCTGCAGGGCCCGGCAGCCCCTCCTCCGGCCAGCGGCGGCCAGGAGTGGGCACAGTGGGCGTCAGCTGTCCCGGGAGCAGGCTCGAGGGGAAGCATCGGCGCCCCGGCCGTCGGGCAGGCCAGCGTCTGGTTGTCCGGCTCGCGGCCGGGTGGTCAAAGTGTGGTACTGTGTCCGCCTGTCAATGGGGGACGCTGCCCTGGGGTCTTCCGGCCACTTCCCACACATCTTTTTTGGCATCTTCCCTTTCTGAGCTCCTCGGTCTGGGCAGGGCCTCCTTTGGGCTCCCCTGACACCTGGTGCCAGCTCTGTCTTGTCTCTTACTGCACACCCATTATAATGGCCAGTTTATTGTCTTCCCACCTGGCTGCGGGATCCTTGAGACAGGGTATCCTTGCCCAATAAAGATTATGAATTGAATAAATGAATGAATGGGTAAGTGAATGAACAACTGGTGTGATGGCACCCCCCCACCCCCATCTGTTGTGTGTGACAGTGTGTGGCTATGGCTGGGTCACCTTAAGAGTGTGAATATGTGGTCAAAATTGGATGGCCTTGAAGGGTAGGTGCCTATGTGCCTGTGCATTTGGGAGACCTGAGACTGAGTTGTGTCGTTTGGGTGACAAGCACCTGTCACTGTGGGCTATTGTGGTTCAGCTGTTGGTGGTCGTGAGCCCTGGTTACTGGTGTGTGCCTGTGTGGCTGTGGAAGATGGGGCTGGGAGCTAGGGCAGCTCTCAAAGCAGAGGGCAGAGTTGGAGGAGAGCTTCCTGTGTCCCCAGAGGTGAGGAGGTGCAGAGGAAGGCTCAGACAACCCCCACAACACACACATAGTGGGGGCCAAGCCCTTGAACAGTCCCCCACCCTGCCACACACACACACACACACACACACACACACACACCACACAAGTACACACTTTATGGAAACCCCAGCGTCAGAGTAAACCATTTCCCATTTGATTGGCAGAAATTTCCTAAGTTGTGGCTGAAGGAGCAAGGAAGGAGATGCTCCCCACCCCCACCTTCCCCACCAGCTGCAGCCAGGACGTGGCCCCTCTGCCTACTGGAAGCTGGACTGCCCCTCCTGCTCCCCTGGAAACTGTTGCTGGGGTTGGAGCCTCCAGGCCCAGACCCCTCCTAACACCTCTGCCAACTCCCAACACCTCTGCCCCAGAGCAGCTTCCCCCAGGCCCCAGGACTGGGCCTCTCACTCCTGCCTTTTAAACCTCCACTCCCAACCCCTCCAACATCTCACCCCTCTGAGATGGGGTTGGGGGTTTCTGGGGACTCCCTCCCTCTCCTTCAGGGTCCCCTGAACAAGGCAGTGGGTGAAAAGGAAGGGCTGCCCTTGGGAAACTCAGTAATCAGCTGCTCTATGCCTTGTCATTCTCCCAACCCCAGCGACCTGTGGTTCTTGGGGAGTTCTCACAGCTGGGACCTGTAAGGGACAGTCCCATCTGGGCCCTCTCCGCTGCCCCAACAGGGCCCTTCTCTAGCATCATCTGCTCATTAAAGTCTCCCTTTACCCCCCCCCCCCCACCCCCAGTCAGAGCCTGCTGCTGCCCTCCAAGTCCCCAGGCATGCTCCAGGCAGGGCCTCTAGTTCTGCTACATCTCTGCATACCTCCCCAGGGGCCTAAGGGCTCTTGGAGGGCAGAGGTTGTCTGGGCTCATCCATGGAGAGCTCCCTGCCCCAGCACAGAGCTAGGGACAGCAGGCATTCCAGCCACTGATGAACGAGGGGCCCTGTTGGGAGTCACAGCCTGAGAGGCTCACAGCCAGACCCACAGCCCCAGGCCCCGGCTGGCAGCCCGCCTGTCCCTTGAGCTTTGCTGACCTGGACAGGGATCGTGGGGAGC